ACGATGCAACTCACCCCTTTATTTATGTCGATCACCCCCGATTCCAAACTTTTGTCCAGTGAGTGTACATGTATAAACCAGTTTTGTTACATTTTACATGTAACATGTACCTGTAATAAGCAGCTTCATGACCTTTTTTATTTGATAAATAGAATTGATGTACTGTAGATCGAATTTTCAAACATATCAATATACACGTATATACGCATACAATGATGTAAACCAGTCGGCTGATTATTCTGTATTGCTTAAGGCTATTGTTCCGTGTAATGTATGATGAAGAAGCCAAGTACATTTTGATGATGGCTCTAGCCCCATCTCAACTTACTTCTCTAAAATGGATTAAAACGTGTTTGATGTATTGCAAGTTAACCGAAAATATTTGAAATGTTCTGCCAACTTATCTTTTGTCGTTAAACTTAGAATTTTATTCTTTGTTGGTTAAAACGTACATTAAATTATCCCAGTTCAAAATTGAGCAAGTTTGAAGGAATACTTTAAACCATAATCTTGTTTGAAATGAAAATACTAAAGCCAAAAAGCGAAAATGAAATTCAAGATATTATTAAAGACGCAGTAAACGCTGCAACGCCAACAATTGTTCGAGTTATCGGCTCAAACCATTCATGGTCACGGGCGATTTTTGACGCAAAGGATATTCCAAAGACTACCAATGTTAAGTTTATTTCCTTAACGAATCTCAGAGGTGTGGAAAAATTCGAACCCACAAGTGAACAAACCGCTACAGTCACTGTTTGGGCCGGCACTAATATTGGAAAAGATCCACGAGATAAAGATTCAACTCTCGAAAACAGCCTAACATATCAACTGGATCAACATGGCTACTCATTGCCAGACACCGGTGGCATTAGTCATCAAACTGTCGGCGGTTTCCTTTCAACAGGCTCAGCAGGTGGCTCTCTAGTTCATAGTATTGACGAAGCAGTCATTGGTATACGACTTATCGATGGTACTGGCACAATTCATGATCTTACGGAGAAAGATAACGATAAGTTTCTAGCTGCCGGTGTCTCGATGGGGCTTCTAGGAATCATTACAAAAGTTACCTTCAAATTGCAAAAAAAATTCTACATCACTGGTATTCAAACAATATCTCCAATTAAACCTTTATCGCGGGACATTAATGTCGGTTGTCCGATTGATTTTTTTGGAATTGGCGATAAAGATCAGGGAATTCCAAGTATTTCAGAATTTTTCTCTAATAATCGTGATTATGATACCGATTACTCTCGCATTCTCTGGTGGCCACAGGATGGGTTGGATCGCGTATCTATCTGGAAGGCGAAAAAGATCAGTGATAACAATGGGCCTATTGATCATTTTAAACAACCTTCAATATTCATACAGTTTTTCGGCAAAGTGATCCTTGCCTTTTTGAATGTCATTGAATTCCCGGGGAAGATATATAATAAGATTGCAGCATTTTTGTTGAAAAATTTCAGCGAGATCGGTGTCGAATATTTCCAAGATCGTTGGTGGAATGGTTTGCCCATGGATAACGATATTTGTGATCAAATCTTACCAGTAGCTTTCACAGAGTTGTGGATATCGTTTGATAAAACCAAAGATGTCATGAATAAGTTGCAAGAACTTTTCACTAATGAACCAAAATCCGTTGGTAACTTTATAACAGAAATTTACACTGCCAAGAAAAGTCGGTTTTGGCTTAGCCCAGCCTATGAAAGAGATGTTATACGCATTGACCCCTTTTATTTTCTTGGAAATCTTCGCGGAACTCCGGAAGATCATTTTCGGTTTTATTGGAACGCTTTGAAGGAATACAATTTCCGCTGTCATTGGGGCAAGTATACGCCAGATGAATATGGCAACGAAGTTCCAGGTCTTTTCTCCAAATACGAGAATTGGATGGCTATTAGACAAGAAATGGATCCTCACCAGATTTTTGTCACTCCTTATTGGAGAAGTCGTCTTACTATTCCTAATATAAATTAGTGATAGCATCTTAATTCGATTTCTTTCACATTTTTAATAAACAACGAATATGTTTGTGTGCATGTAATAAATGCGTAAAACTATACACAATAAAATCCATCCATAATCTTGCTTGACTTTTTCAATCTTATATAAGTGACTTGTCCAAAGATTGGGTTCAATCATGCAAATATTCAAAATACAGATGGCTGGTGAAAGATTAGAATAATCGCAGAGATTAAAATGAATAAGATACGAGTGTATATGAACCCGTTGACGTTCAAAATCCCGATATTTCATAAGCCTGAAAAATGAAATCCGAATGAACGAGCATCCCGAATAAGCGAAATCCATAAAGAACAAATTTTGAACGGACTACGTCCTGACTTCATGCTAATTTTGCATTTCATATATTTGGGATGCTATACTTGCAGGACCATTAACCAATCAAAATTGTGGTATCATAATGATATGTTTTTCTGCATTAAATGGTTGATAATTCGCATCGGTATGATAACATCGATTTTTATATCATATGCTTGCATCTGTTTCATTTCAAGAATAGATCCAAATTACATGATTGGCGTTACTTGTATATAACTTAGTATATGTAATTGAATTTATTAAAGTTGATATTTTCAGCTTATAAATTAAATAATTATAATTACTACTTATTATTATTGATAATTAATACTAATAATTAAATAAAATATTTTATATTTAAATTTAATGATAAAACATTCTTTTATTAATATAATTTTAGCGAGCAATTTTATTAGTCACTCAAGATATATTTATTAAATGAAAGTTATTAAAAATATCTTATGGAATATCTATATAAAATAAAAAAATTATATAATAAAAAATAGTGATAATGTCATGAAGATTAATTCTAAAGTTTTATTCAAATTATGGATTGGTGCAAAAAGATTTATACCTCAGATAAATATTAATAAATTATTTTTTCAAAATAAAATTTTAATTCTGTCTTAT